CAGCAGCTGCAGCAGGAGATGCAGCAGCTGCTGCAGCAGCAGCTGCAGCAGGAGATGCAGCAGCTGCTGCAGCAGCAGATGCAGCAGCAGCTGCAGCAGCAGCTGCAGCTGCAGCTGCAGCTGCAGCTGCAGCAGCAGACAGTGACGGGCACAAAATGCCTGCCGCAACTAATGGAGCAACGAAGTTCTAAACGAGACTAAGAGACAGTACAGCCAAGCTGCGAGGTGTACGTACACCTGGGGAATATATAGAATGCCATGACGCACTTTGAGACTATTCAGTTTACAAAAAACTTAAAAGGAAATTTCATTTCTGTTGCTCTCAACTGCTGCGTCGCCGCGCCTGCCTAGCCTGCTGTGTCTGTACACCCCAACACGCTGCAGCAGCGCGGCATTTCTGTGCAGCAGCAGCAGCAGCAGCGCGTGCAGCTGCCGCCAGAAGCCCCGGGGGCAGCTTTGCTTCACTGCATGCAGACGAGCGCGGCCCCTGGGGAAAGAAGTGCCTTTGGGCTGTTTTGCCCAAATCTGATTTTGCCTAAAGCTGGGCCTGTAGGGCCGCAGGGGCATGTGCAGCAGCGGCTGCAGCAGATGGGCCCCAGGGGCGCCGCTGCTGCTGCTGCTGCTGCTACTGCTGCTGCTGCTGCTGCTGCAGGGCTGTAGACACAGATGAGTCGGAGCTGCAGCCTCTTAGCAGCAGAAGGAAACTGATTTAAAACCCTAGAACTAATGCTCTTTAAGGGGACCAAGCAGCTCTGTGCCGCGCCGCCTGCCCCGGGCGTCCTGCCGCAGCAACGGCGACTGCAGGACACAGCTGCTGCTGCTGCAACTGCTGCAGCAGCAGCTGCTGCAGCAGGAGCTGCTGGCTTGTAGCTCGTGTGGTAGTGCCAGCAGCGGTGGCGAAGCGACCAGCGGCAACAAAGCCAGCGGCAGCAAACGCCAGCAGCAGCAACAGCAACAGCACCTGCACTTGGAGAAGTTAAGACAGTAGAACAGTAGCACTACTCAAAGCAGCAGCTGGTGATGGAAGCAGCAGCAACAGCAGCAAGACAAACACCAAAAGCAGGCCTAGACTGACGCTTAAGAATTCGTGAGTCATTAAAAAGGCATAAGTTCCTCTTTTAGTCTATTTGATGCAGCTTTTACCAGAAGAAGGTCCCAGTAAGGGGCTACAGGGGCCCCTGGGGGCCCTCGTCGGGGCCCGCTAAGGGCCTCAATGAGCAGCAGCAGGGGCCCCTGGAGCCTCCAAGTCTGCGTTGACTTTGTGGAGCTGCTGATATTGATAGCAGATAATGTGGCGCCGCAGAAGCTTAATTGCTGAAATTATATTTCTTTTTTAAGTGGGTGTGGCTCTTTCAGGGGGCTTCAGCAGCAGCAACAGCAGCAAGCGCGCTGTTGCTGCTGCAGCATCTCGATACGCCTCAGGGCATCAGAGCTGACTGTGGTTCCTTGACTTTTCTTGCTGCCTTTATTTTCCCCCTTAATTTATTTCTGGAAGACAAGGCTGCAGTAGCAAGAAGCAGCAACACAACCAGCAGCAGCAGCAGCTGCTCAGTGGAGCCCGTGGGACCTGCAGCTGTGCTTCTACGAAACAATGGATAAGCGCGACGCTGCAACAGCAGCAGCAGACGCTGCAGCAGGAGAGGAGGCAGCGCAGCAGCAGCAGCAGCAACGCCGAACGCCCAGAGTCTACAGGACCAGCACAGCGCTAAGCGCAGCAGCTGCTGCTGGGGGGCCAACAGGAAGTTCAGCAGCAGGCAGCAGCAGCTCGCTGCGGCAGCGCTTTTACTGGGATGTGGAGAAGGACGAAGTGACCTTTGCTGACGGCAGCAGTAGCAGCAGCAGCAGCAGCAACAACGGCAGCAGCAGCAACACCATCTTTTCGTCAGGTGAATTTACGCAGCTAGCGCAGCGAGAGGCAGCGGAGCCAATTCCCTTTACCCTAGTGAAAGATATTGTTGAACGGATGCCGGTTAGCATCAGCAGCAGCAGCAACAGCAGTAGCAACAGCAGCAGCAGCAGCAAAGTCAGCAAGTTTGCTGCAGCACGGCAGCATCCGCCCTTCCCGAAGGCTGTCCACCGCAGTCTGCTGCAGCAGCAGCCATCGCAGCGGCTGCAGCTTCAGAATAAAAATCAAGCTGCCGCTACTGCTGCTCCTGCTGCTGCTGCAGTATCTGACGCTGCGGGCACTGTAAACGACTCAGCAGCAACAGCAAAAGCAGCTGCTGCAGCAGAAGCAGCAGAAGCTGCGCGCCTTCTGGGGATTGATCCTGATGAAGTGCAGCAGGCGCTGCAGCAGCTCAAGGAAAGACTAGGGCCTGAAAAGTTTGCCTTTCTGCAGCGGCGAGCGGAGCAGAAGCTGCAGCAGCAGCTGCAGCAGCAGCAGCAAGAGCAGCAGCAGCAAGAGCAGCAACAGCCTCAGCGGCAGCTGCAGCAGCAAAATGCAGCCGAGGGGCAAGAACAGGTGAAGCAGCAGCAGCAAAATAAGTCAAGTGGAGACGGCGAGGCAGCAAATAAAGAACAGGAGTTCCTGCGCTACCGGATAACGCTGCAGCGAGCTCCAGCAGCAGCAGCAGCAGCAGACACAGCAACAGGGGAAGCAACAGCAGCAGCAGCAGCGCAGCCACCCCCCTGTGGTGCCTTTGTGTTTGACTCACGTGAAGCCGCAAAGCTTCGGTGGACAGATCCGCTGCCTGCGGAGGACCCTGCTGCTGCTGCTGCTGCATCTGCTGCTGCATCGCAGCAGCAGCAGGAGCAGAGGCAGCAGCAGCAGTTTGCTGCTGCTGCGGGAGTCCCGCTGGAGCAACCGCAGCAGCAGCAGCAGCAGCTGGCAGCTCTCCGCTTCGACTTCAGCGGGCGGCTGCGGACTGATGCGTGGGGCCAGCAGGCTGCTGCTGCTGCAGTGGTTGCTTTCTGGCAGCAGCTGCTGCTGGGTGAGCCCAGCGATGCAGCAGCAGCAGCAGCTGAAGCGGTGAGGAACGCTGCTGCTGCAGCGGATGAGGCAGGCGTGGGCGCGTGGCTGACGCCTGCTGCTACTGCAGCAGCAGCAACAGCAGCACAAGCAGCAGCAGCAGCAGCAGCAGACCCTCTCGCCTACTACAGGGGCCTCCACCACCACGGGCAGCAGCCAGAAGCAGCAGGATATACTGTGGAGGAGGCGCTGCTGCTGGCCCACAGTGCTGCAGCAGCACAAAGGGCTTTGGCTGTTCGCATGTTGGGGCAGCTGCTGCTGGCCGCGAGGTCCGTTTGCTTCCTTCCCAGCAGCGCAGCAGCAGCAGCGGCAGCAGCAGCAGCGGTGCCAGCACAAGCAGCAGATAAGCAGTCGACCGCGTTTTCTGCGCTGCAGCGGCTGCTTGCTCCCCTACTATTCCCTCAGCAGCAGCAGCAGCAGCAGCAGCAGGCTCTAGCGCTGCGAGGTGGCTTTGGATTTGGCTTGGGGAGATATTTGCGCTTTTTGCTGCTGGATCAGCAGCTGCTGTTTCGTTTGTGCGGCTGCCTCATGTCAGAAGCTGCTGCTGTTGCTGCAGCAGCAGCAGCAGGTCTTGCAAACGTGTTCTTACCAGTGCACCCCACTCGCCGCCTGGGCCCGCTGCAGCAGCAGCGTATGCTGCAGCTGCAGCAGCAGGAAGAGCGGGCTGCTGCTGAAGTTGCTGCTGCTGCTGCGCTGCACCTGCAGCCAGCAGACACCCGCCTTTGCTGCGCTGTTGCCACCCCGTACCTGCTGCACCTGCGCAGCCGCAGCAGAGAAGCTCCAGCAGCAGCAAAGGCAGCAGCAGCAGCAGCAGCGGGCGTTTGCAGCTGCATGCTGAATATCTCCGACTCTGCAGCTGCAGCAGAAGAGCCCTCGCTGTTTCCTCTGGGAGGCCTGGACCTCGTGGGGTGTACGTACACCGCAGGCCCCCTGTGGCCTGCTGCAGCAGCTGCAGCAGCAGCAGATGCTAGAGTGTGTCTGGGCCCTGGCAGCGCCTGGGCAGCTCTTGCTGCGCGCTGGGGAGACTTGCTGCCTCAGCAGCAGCAGCAGCCGCAGCAGCAGCGGCAGAGTCCTCTGGATATACCCCTGGGGGAGTCCTTTGGAAGACACCCGCATGCAGCAGCAACTGACTTCGCGCTGCTGCTGCCGCGCGTGGCTTTGCTGCTGCAGCGGTGCTGGGGCATGGCTGAGGAGGAGCAGCAGCTGGTGCGGCTGCTGTGCGGCCTCTGCACAGGGGGGCCGCAGCAAGTGCAGCAGCTGCTGCAGCATAAACAGCTGCTGCAGCAGCTGCTGCGGCTCACAGAAAGTTTGCTTCTCGGGGCAGAGGCGCGCCACAAGCGGCGTGCTGCTGCTCGCAATCAGGTCCTGCCTGCAGCTCAGTGCCTCCTTGGCAGCAGCAGCAGCAGCAGCAGCAGCAACGCTCTACATGGGAGCAGCAGCAGTGGCAGCGCTGCTGCTGAGGAAACAGATGAACACGACTTAGGGGAGCAGCGGCTTCTGCTGCAGCTGCTGCTTCTGCTGCGCATCTGCGCCAGCCGAGTGGAGAGTCTGCAGCAGCTTGAGCCTTTCTTTGGTCCTTTGGAGCTTCAGGACAGCAGCGACGCTGCAGACGACAGCAGCAGCAGCAGCAGCGTGCTGGGGCTGACGCTGCAGTCTCTCATGGCAGTTGTTGAGCAGCCCGAGCTGCAGGTTTTCCAGCAGCAGCAGCAGCATCAGCGGCAGACGCAGGAGGATGAAGATGACCTCAAGTTGCTGCCTGTCGCATGCGTGCTTCGCGTTGCTGCTGCAGCTAGTGCAGCAAAGCTGCTGCGGCTGCTGCAGCAGCGGGGCAGCTTAGCGGTGCCTGTTGAGCCGCTGCTGCCTGCCTTTGCTGCACATGTTCGCGGCTTTAATCGCCAGCTGCAGGTGCTGCAGGGCCATTTGCTGCTGCAGCAAATGTCAGATTCGGGCGCAGCAGCAGAAGCTAGTGAAGCCACGCATTCTTGCTTCACTCCCTGCTCCTGGCATGCAGCAGGTATTAGCAGCAGCAGCA